TTATACGGAGGCCATTCTGTGCGTGTTGCTGTTGCAGAATTTCATAAAATTGTCTTGCCTTTCAGATTTCTCCACCCTCAATCAGATTTATTTGAGAAATGTAGCCATGCGCGCGCCAGGTGCGTGTCGCAGATGTTTTTGTTGATTCTGTGTTTATAATGATTTATAGTCATGGGTTATCGTGATAAGGTCATCCAGCATCATATTGAAACTGAAATCGTAATCCTGTCGATACAACTTTTGGAAGTAGTTCAATGACTTCAAACTGTTAGTCCACGATTGTCTAAAACAACACAGCAAAGGAGGAACAATAAACATGTATTAAAATGTAAACGAATACATTGCTGAGTCCAAAACCTCGATCCAACAACTACACTGATCCTGAGGAGAAAAGGGGCAAGGCTATGGTTGGAGGTACTGAGAGATAAACAAGGCACTCCACAATAATAAAGTCTTACACATCTTTTGGTGAGTATGAATGATATCTAGTCCTCTTTAGGACCTCTTTAGGACGAACACCAAGGGAACGATGGTATTTATTCTGTGAGCTTAACCTATTTTATAACCAGAGAACACAAATATATCTCCAATAGACATACGAATAGATTTCTTCTACAGCGAAAGATTCTTAGCCACACCGACTCATTGACTCGTCTCGTATGAAACAATTGAGTCACTAGAGAGATTCTGCAAAACGAAATGCGTACAAACTTTCGCTCTACATCATGAAGTGCGAAACTTGCAGGGAACGCGAAATGAACTGTCGTAGGAAATTTCGTGAGATCGGGTCATGGCGTACGTGCACTTGGCCCGCGCAAACTACGAAAATGTGCAGAACGCAAAGTTCGTGCAAAAATTCGCACACACTTTCGCAAGGACTGTCGCGAAACTTCGTTCGAATTTTCGTTTTGCAGAACCTCTCTACTGAACCTTTCTTTAGCAACATGACGGCAACTGAAACAGCAACAGAGAAAGTACGATACATGTACTCCACATTCTTACAGGTACTACAAACAGATTGCAGATCGCAATTCTTGCTTTGGCAGCACGAAACTTTATTTGGGGCAGTGCAATCTCGGCGGTACTCACAAATCAAACAGCCCAGACTTGAGTAAACAAATCCAATCATACAAGTTCGAGATTTTCACGAGACTGCACCCATTGGCTTGTTTCGTATGAAACAAACAAGTTACTGAACCTCTCCACAATAGAGATTTCCCCTGATATGCGAATTTATTTTGCAAACTCGGTCAATTGGTACTTGAACCTTTCCCTCCAGATTGGGAACTGCCAACGATAGTATGCCACTGACCAGTGCCTTACTTGTAACGTACCAATGTACAATGAATATGAGTATTTCGACAACACATCTAACATAAGCCTTACCGTCAAGAAGTTGAACTCGCGTTCTTCGCACACTGTAGACAAGGGCAAAGAGATAAAAATGGATCTAAATCCGAATAAAATCAGCACACGTTTCCGTAAATGAAAGGTGAACATAAGCAAATGAATCGAAGGAAACCGGTCAACTTAGAGATCACCTGTCATCGAGTATTCCGTAAAACTACTAAAAGGCGGCCTCGCAGCTCGGCAGCAGAAGAGCAAAATTTAGAAAAGAGATCCTGTCAACTTTTCCATTATTATTTTCCGCCCTAAAATCAGCACACTTTTCCTGAATGAAAGAGTCAACACAAGCAGAATCAAAGGCAACTGGTCAACTCACCTGTCATTGAGTAATATTCCGCGAAAGGAGGTCTCAGCAGCGCCGAAACGAAATAAGCCAGGCCAGGAGACGAAATATCCGAAACAGTTCATGCAAGAAGCAGTTCCAAAGAAGGAAGTAAAGTTCCATGCGCATGCACATCCGAACACGGATCCGCGGACTGCATGCACTGAACACAATGTCTGCCGTGCACGTGCACAGCACACGGCTACCACGCGTTGGTAGATCTAATACCGAGCACCTTACGTAGAGACTTACGTAGCCTAAGTGAAATACCGAGCACCTTACGTAGAAACTTACGTAGCATAGCGATGTCGTTTTTTCTGCCATGTGAACACAATAATAGAAAAGCTGACAGGATCGCTTTTCTAAATGTAGTAGAAACTTAGATCAATTTCTCCAGTTGCAAGAACTGGATAGCTTCTGATGGTTGTGTGAGAATTGCCTCCTTGACTGACGTGAAGGTACATAGACGTACATACACAAATAGGAGATCCCCCAGATAGGCGTCAGCCTTTGGGTAATCCTGAAATAAAGATTATTATTATGACGTGTAGCTGCTCGACTGCTGTGTCTGGCAGGGCAAGCTAGCAGGAGGTGGGCAGCATCATCAACTGTTCCAGGACAGTGAGTGCAATCGGGTGAAGGTGCAGCCTCAATCTGGAACAAGTACTTCTTCAGCAGGCTGCAGTGGCCAGTGAGGAGCTGATTGAGGATGGTGGTCTCATGCCGAGATGGAGGGCTGCGGAACTTGCTGGTGTTGAGCAATGGCCGTGGGTATGCGGTGGCAGACCGAATTGAAGCCTTGGCGGCTTGGATAGGTAGCTGAACCTGGGCCTGTACACATTATATTTCAGAATGCTCTGTCTCCATATCAACGTGCGATCCGCCTTGTCATTGAGAGCAACACCGCAGTGGCTGCTGATCCAGACAAGGTTGATGGAATGAGCCTTCCGAGCAACCTCTGTCAGAGCATCGAACGCAGCGATGGCGTCTGGGTTACTCGAACTCTGATATCGCACAACTCAGCACAACTCTCACTAAGGCTGTGACGGATGCTGAGTATGTGTTTATTGGTGTGTAGGTGTGGGTATGTACATGTATGTGTGTGTGTGTGTGTTTGTGTGTGTGGGGGGGGGGGGGGGGTGTGGGTGTGGGTGTGGGTGTGGGTGTGTGGATGTGTGGATTTGTGGGTGTGTGGATGTGTGGGCGTAGATGTGCAATGCTTCGATTTCTCTCTCTTCTCTCTTCCTGTCGGTGTCTCCCGCTTCTGGGCCGGCATGGCCCATGCTTCATGCGTGCTTGTTCCTGGTGTCGTTATGTCTACTGTGTCCTGCCGCTACTCCGGCTTTGGCCGTGACCACGATGTGTCTCCCCATTTCAAGTTCTCCTTCATCCATTCCTTTCTCTTTTTGCTAAAAGCTTTCTTCTCGCCGTGACCACGATTTTTCTTCTTTTTCTCCTTTCTTCTTTTTCTTTCCTTCCTTTCTCTTCTTCCTTTGCTGAGAGCCTTCTGTTCCCATATTTTCTTTTCATCTGTGTCCCCATTCCTGGGTTACTTGGACTTCATTCGCTTCCTTGTCATTGGACATGTTCAGTCCGTTCGGTTTGCGAATTCAAATAAACACAACCAACCAACCTTGCTGCACTTTGGCTCAATGATATCGGCCTGCTCATAAATGCCAGCAAAACACAGGTCTTGTTTATCCAGCCCTGTGGAGCAACTGTCCAACCACCTCCTGTGTTCTGTGGCACTGATAAGCTGGACGTGACATCCACAGCGAAGTGCCTGTCCTAGGCATTGTTGTTGATGACACATTGTCATGGAAACCTCATGTAGAGCATATTGTAAGAAAGACTGCGCAGACTGTTGGCCAATTGTGGCGGCATGGACGGTGCCTAACATTGTCGGCAGGCCGGTCATGGTACATCAGCATGATAACCAGTCATTTGTCCTATGCATCGAACGCATTTTACCCCAGCCTTACAGCCGCACTTCTCAAGAAACTCAATAAGATCAGTAAATCGCTGCTTAAAATCGGGCATTCGTGCTGTTCTGTGCTTGCCACCTCGTTCCCCAACTGCGCCTCTCTTTATCCGCCTTGTACGAGGTGATTCGTAATTTTTTAACATTGAGTCATTTCTTAACAAAACGGTAAAATATCTCATTGCCACCGCCTGAAAAAAGTCACGTCAAAATTCGTTTTGCCATTGCCATTGCCAATGTTCTGTCAAGTTCCCCTCCAAAATTGAGACTGATATTCCTTCAGAAAGTGACATTGCAAGAGCTTTCAGTCTGCAGTGCGCGATGTTTACGGTAAAATAGAGTATAAGAGAGTCATAGCCGCTGGTTTCAACCTCCAGTGACAACATATTTAGCTGAAGAGGAAGCATATGATAGTTACATACTGGAAACGACGCCTGGGAAGGAGGAATGTCGGTGTGTTGACCCTGGTAATGGCCAAGCATTGGCATTCACTGAATTTGCTAACAGATGTTGATCACAATTGCACATGAAATCAGGGTGACACACCTATTGCTATGCAAGCTTGAATGGCTTGTATTTGGATGAACATTATCTTGATCCAGTCTTGCTGGACCATCCTGGATACGTAGGGTCTCTTTCTATTGAAAACTGACTTGAAATTGTGCTGCTAAGGCCTATTTTACCATGATGTTAAGAAATGACCACAACAAATTATGCGGAAAAATTGCCATTTTTCAACTGCCACCTGCTTCCCAACACCAAGGATTATGTGAATGAGAAACCCAACATCGCAATCCAAGGACATCAGTATTACATTTTTAGAGGAAGAAATGGAAAGATTCACACCTCGAACCCTACGGAAGGCTATTTTACTTTCGTGTTGAATAATGACGAATCACCTCGTACTACTCCCTGGGTAGATCTACGGGTGGTCGTTGTTTCGTGTTCGCTTGTTTCGTCTTGAGCGCGCTTTCCTCCCTGGTTCCCACCAGGGAGTCGTAAAATACCTGGTTCCCACTGCTTTCTCTGAACAAAAAGTGCAAAAGTGCAAAGTTCACGACCCTACTGTGAAAGCGTACACGAACTCAAAGTGCAAAACTACGAGACACTCTACACTACTACAGAGTGGACTCGACTACTACGTAGCCTCGTAGGACTAGTCCCGCGCGAAGAATGCGGAACCCAAGAACGTCCAGCCTGAAATAAGAAAAAAACTTGAGCGCCACATGACTCAAGGTGTTTTGGTTTTTTCTGGAAACTTTCTTTTCTGTTTTATTATGATCCAGAACGCCGCCAGATTGCTAGAAAAAGAACGCTCTTGGGCGCGCGACTCGTAGATTACTGTACCTTTTTTTACAATACCTCAACACTCGTAGATCTACACCGGCCCGCGCGCGCGAGTGTTCCCGCGCGGCGGGCCAAGCATACCCAATGAAAATGCGGTTGAAATCGGTGCAACGCCAACGAAGGCCATTGAATTATTTCCGCAGTCTTGCTGTTCGGCTGAGCGGAGAGGATCGGAGATTTCTTCAAATCTGAAGGTGAGTGTGTGTCCTGCTTTCTCAATTTCACTCCACATTTTTATGAACTGAACTATGGCGAGTTGTATATTCTTGAACCCGGCTCTTCTTTCACGTCTCGCTTCGATCATGGATATGTGCCTTTTTTGTGCCTCCTGCCTTTGAGTGTGAGATGCTGTGTGTTGGATGCTATTGCTTAGCTGTCCTCTGAACGAATCATTCACCACTGTTCGCCGTGGCTTCTTGTCCGTGTTGCCGAGTTGATCGAGCGTGAGCACGCTCACATCCGTGTTCACGCTTTTGTCTTTTCTTCTCCTAGGAAGATTGACCCTGGAGATTGGGATGATGTCGTCGTCAAACTCCCCGGCAGCAGTGTGCGTACTGCTTGCATTCCTTGCTTCAGTCGGATATGTTCAAGCACAAAGTGAGTATTAATATCAGCGTGATTGCGTTTTCCACCCACCATAATGGGCATTTTGCCCCTAAGTACACGAGAGAGCTTGGAAGCTCCGGGCCCTACGCTATGCTTTTAGTCGAGCGAAAGCGACGCAAACTGAACTCTCTGCTCATTCTGCCAATAGTTTCTCTTGTAAAGACGCTGTACATGAGCTGAACTACTCTCGTCTAGTGGTTTGCAGTCGATACAAGCTGTTCTTGACCTGGTCTAAGCGTTTTCATATCCATCAAAATCCATCACATAGTTTTTGTTAACGGAGGAAGTTTTTTTGGACCCTGGCTAGCTAGCGCCGGACGTTACTGCACTATCGCCCTGCACGCATTCCCCCAATACACTTCGCATACATATATGCCAGGCCTCTACAGTCTCTCATTTCTTGGTGCTGACCGCGTTAGTGCTATACATCATGCTACTATACATACCTATTCTCTTGATGGTACGGGACGGATACGGGATAGCGCCAGGCGTGGCACAAACAAACAAACACGAAATTAAAGCTGTGTGGACCCTGGCTAGCGCCAGACTGTTACTGAAGTACAGTAGAGTCGCGCGCCCAAGAACGTTGTTTCCAAGGGGTTCCTGGGACGTTCTTATTTTTCAGCAATCTGGCTGCGTTCTTATAGCACGTTCTTAGAAACAATCCGTACTGGATCATAATTATGTATCCCACAAGCTGCATACTGACCAACCACCACAATCTCAATCCCTTGACAAGACATGCAGAATCCCTGGATTTCTCTCAAAATCCCTGGATGGCACAAAAACAAGTGAAAAAGAGCTTTTCCCGCCAAAAAACGTTCGACTCTGCAGCTGTGCGTACAGCACAGATCGACCCTAGGCTGTAGTACAGTTTGATCAGTCGGCGCCCGCCTGTCAATTTGTCAGTGCAGATCTTGCAGGCATGGTCAGGTCTTCAAAGTGCTGTGCACAGTTCGAAGTGCGAATGAGCACCGTACATGCCTTTGAAAAAAGTTCAAAAAACCGGGACATTCGGGCAGAAACCATGGAGTTTTCAGAGAAAATCCTGTATCAGACAAAACTTTGGTTTTTCCGGGAGTTTGCTTGAAATCCCCGGGACCCCGGGAGGAGTGTTGATTTTCCGGGATTCTCCCGGGAAAAACGGGAGGGTTGGCCAGTATGAAGCTGCCAGAAAACCAACACCGCCATTCTTAGCTTTAGGCTGTGGCGTTCTTAGAATTTCAGGCTGGACGTTCTTGGGCTCCACGTTCTTCAGCGCGCGACTCTACTGTAACGTCTTCTGCATAGCTACGGGAATTAAATAGAGTTACCCATATAGAAAAGCAGGGTTCTAGCCAGGGGGAGGGGGAGGAGGGGTCCCCCCTCCCCCCCTTACTCATTTGTCGATTTTTGTGTTTTTTAATGCTTTTTTATTGTCATTCAAAGACAATGCAAAATACAGTTTATAGCCTCTACCACGTGGTTCATAACATTTATCTGAGATGAAGTCGGGCAATAGTGTGCTTCTTGAAATTAATTTTTAAGAGACTACAGGACCCTCAAGAGAGCCACTCCCTCTTGGCAGGGTACAGCTAGTGGGACAGAATTTCAAGCTGACCGTCATTGCTTTTATGTTGCAACGGGCAATGCGCACAATTTTTTTCGCAGCTTTTCTGTGGTGCCGGGCCCTGACACAAACTACAATTTTTCTAGAAAGGAAAAGGACATGATTATGGATACGAGTTAAGAGGAACTCTCCATCACTGTAACTGGATACTATATACAGTCAGAAAGTGCAATAACTAGGCACAAAACTGACAAGAGTATTGAGACATTCGACGTCCTGACACCTAGCTTCAACACATCTCCGTGGCGCTAACCGACAGCCTTCCAACTTGGAAGGTTCGAGGTTATAGAAAGACCAAAGAGGGGAAGGCAAGCGCAACGAAAACGAGCAAAAGCTACAAGAATGTCGATTGTTACTGGACGATGACGAGACCAGTACGATATTTGACTAGTCCATCACAATGTCATGCTTGAGGAGTACTGTAGGAGTTTGGCTTTCGGCTTTTACAATTCGTTTTTGCAAAGCTTCCCCTTTTTTACTTAGGGGTCGTCCGTATCTTTCGAAAAATTAAAAAATCCGTCCTCGGGCAAAAAGGGGGTGGGTGGTCAAGGGCGCTGACGGAATTTAATTTTTCGATTTTTCATACTTTTATACTTATTTTCTTACTTCAGTGACTTTCACAGACTTGTTGCACTGACTGTGCTGGTACTGTAGGATCCATTGTCGCAAACACCAGTCTGATATACATGACTCTTCATTGCAGTTATAGGATGTGCATGGTCCGTCGGTAGACCTACTACTCACTGTACTTAGCTACTAGTACTTGACACAGGTGCAGTCAGTGAACATGGGGTCAGGAGTTCTTATTTTCAAGCTGGGCATCGGTAAAAAAACAAAAAATAATGCGAACAAAATTAATGGGGGTGGGTGGGTGGGTCAGAGACAATTTTGCACGAGGACGGTTTTTTGTAAGTTTTCGATAATTACGGACGACCCCTTATCTTTGATATTTATGACCCACCCAAGTTGGGTGGTGTGCTGCTTTGCTGCTTCGAATTGTAGTTAGACCGCTTTGTCAAATATCGTACTGGTTCCATCATCGTCCAGTATTAAACAATCGACATTCTTTGTTCCGTTGGGACTGTAGCTTTTGCTCGTTTTCGTTGCGCTTGCCTTCCCCTCTTTGGTCTTTCCATAACCTTGAACCTTCCAAGTTGGAAGGCTGTCGGTTAGCGCTACGGAGATGTGTTGACGCTAGGTGTCAGGACGTCGAATGTCTCAGTACTCTTGTCAGTTTTGTGCCTAGTCATTGCACTTTCTGACTTGGAAGGTTCGAGGTTATGGAAAGACCAAAGAGGGGAAGGCAAGCGCAACGAAAACGAGCAAAAGCTACAAGAATGTCGATTGTTACTGGACGATGACGAGACCAGTACGATATTTGACTAGTCCATCACAATGTCATGCTTGAGGAGTACTGCAGTGGCGGATCCAGGGGGGGTTCCGGGGGTTCCATGGAACCCCCTAAATTTTGCAAAGTGTGCGGCTGAGAAATATCGAAAAATATCATGTGTGCACAAAAGGACGTCCGTCTGATCACAGTCAGTGCAGTCACTGAGTCAAGGAGCACAGACTGTAAGGCAGTGCACTGCATGCGCGTGCGGTAGATCGATACTGTACGGATAGTACTTAGTAGTCTGTACTGTACTGGTGTTCACGTCCGTGATTTACAAACGGACACTGCAGAGTGGTTGTTTCCTTTTTGATCTTTCGAAACGATCCAAACTTACCTCCATTGGCGCTGTCATTCACTGCTCGTCAGGATGGGTGTGGTGTGGTCAGTATTCCTTGGACAACGGTTTTTTGCAGAAGAGAAAGGATGTTCCGAGTACTGACACTCTTCAACGAACTTCAAACCGTACACGTAGAGTTCAACCTCCTCAGAAGATGAGGGCTCCGACATCCAAGCAAAGTCAGTAATCTCTACCTGCTGCAGCATGCAGTAGTGACTAGTTGTTCCTCCGCAGGAACGGAGTGCTGCGCCAGCGATGTGTTTTAGATGACATTGAAAGGATTGTACCCCGTCGACACTGTTTCGCTGTTGTTGTTTCTGTCACTGCAGTGAAGCCGATGCTCTTGTCCTGTGACTATAGAGCATTTCGCATCGTAAAAATGCCAAAATTTTCCGAAAGTACAAATGGACAGGGAAATAATTAACTTAGTTGTCATTTCGGCATTCCTGGCTTTTAACGTACCCATGGCTTGCATATTCGATCTTTACAAGTAGTTGAATGGGTCTTCAATCCCTCACTGAACCTGTGTGCCAGTCGATTGCATACATGTATATGATTATGTGTCCGTACTAAAATTTACAATGTAGGGTAAGCAGCAGCATTTGGCCCTATATACAGGTTTTCCATCGTCCACCACACCACAACTGCGCTCCGACTCAGTCTCCAGCGATGGTGGTGTGCTGTACATGTGGCAACATGTCGAGGCCGGCTGGAGAGCGCAGTTGTGGTGTGGTCGATGATAATATTATGTCCGTAGTGTGTTTTAAAAGCATGCGATTCCACTAACACAGTCGGATTGTCGTTATTTTACAAGTGTCAACCGCACATCTGATTCCATAATATTTTGGCTGTTCAATTATTTTGGCTCAACCGGAACCCCCCTGTAGAGATCTCTGGATCCGCCCCTGTACTGTAGGAGTTTGGCTTTCGGCTTTTACAATTCGTTTTCGCAAAGCTTCCCCTTTTTTACTTAGGGGTCGTCCGTATTTTTCGAAAAATTAAAAAATCCGTCCTCAGGCAAAAAGGGGGTGGGTGGTCAAGGGCGCTGGCGGAATTTAATTTTTCGATTTTTCATACTTTTATACTTATTTTCTTACTTCAGTGACTTTCACACACTTGTTGCACTGACTGTGCTGGTACTGTAGGATCCATTGTCGCAAACACCAGTATGATATACATGACTCTTCATTGCAGTTGTAGGATGTGCATGGTCCGTCGGTACACCTACTACTCACTGTACTTAGCTACTAGTACTTGACACAGGTGCAGTCAGTGAACATGGGGTCAGGAGTTCTTATTTTCAAGCTGGGCATCGGTAAAAAAACAAAAAATAATGCGAACAAAATTAATGGGGGTGGGTGGGTGGGTCAGAGACAATTTTGCACGAGGACAGATTTCTTAATTTTTCGATAATTACGGACGACCCCTATCTTTGATATTTATGACCCACCCAAGTTGGATGGTGTGCTGCTTTGCTGCTTCGAATTGTAGTTAGACCGCTTTGGCTTAGGCAGCGCAGTTCTTTTCCGTTGAAATTGTTTCAGGAAAGCTGCAGTGACTGTTACTTCTTCACTAGAAGATGAAGATAATGTCAAAATGATTTTGTGTTGATCCAGTTTTTGATGATCCGTTGTACATGACCGGTACGCGTATACGACCACCTATGTTTCGTTGATGCAAATAAAAATGTGCAAAAAATATTCAATTTGAAACTCGGATGTTGAGCCATAAATAAATGTAAAATAGAAAAGGACATATGGATACGAGTTTAGAGCCTTCCCCTCTTTGGTCTTTTCCATAACCTTGAACCTTCCAAGTTGGAAGGCTGTCGGTTAGCGCTACGGAGATGTGTTAAAGTTAGGTGTCAGGACGTCGAATGTCTCAGTACTCTGTCAGTTTTGTGCCTAGTTATTGCACTTTCTGACTGTATATAGTATCATGTTACAGTGATGGAGAGTTACTCTAAACTCGTATCCATATGTCCTTTTCTATTTTACAAAAAATATTCAGCATACGATTTCAAGCATTTTGACTTACATATCAGTGCATGGGGCTGCATTTGGATAATAAGAAGTTCTGGATAATTCGAAGTTAGGGTCTGGCTATTTGAGATTCGAATTAAAGGGAGTCTACCTGTAGTATCCAGTTACAGTGATGGGGAGTTACTCGTATCCATAATTATGTCCTTTTCCTGTCTACATTTGTTTAAGGCTCAACATCCGAGTTTCAAATTACAATTTTTCTTTCTTTCTTTTTTCTACAAAAATCCACATATCTCCAGACACCGGGGCGAATGATGGAGTGTGGTGGTGGGGTCCATTAAGACGAGCCGACCAGAGGTCTCGGCTTCATAGCTCCATGGACGCACCAAAGTACGAGTGTCTTGCCGTTAAATCACGCCTGCAAGGAGCATTTGCAACGAAAAGTAGATGTAGCACCGAATGCGTTGGGAAATGTGCTCTTGGTAAAACGTTTGACCCAACGGAGGATGCAATGGGAGCCTATGCATAATCTTCCCACCGTTTTAGTTTTGCGGGTCAAGTCCACTTCAACCGGACACACTGTGATACCAGCAGCCATGCATAACAGCTCATGAACTGCGTACAGTCATACTCACACATGCACTACAGCTGGCTGGACCGGCCGAATATGGGACAAGTTGCCCGGCAAAAAGGTGCCATTGCCCCCATGGCTGAGTGTTTTTTTAATTCCTGTCCCTTGCGGCATTCAACTTCCGGAAAATGTTCTCGTGTTCACAATGGCCAGTGTCTACTTTATGTCATGTAGAAAAAATTGATGACAATACAGTCTCCGTTATAAAAACATGGCTTTATAATTGAGATCACATTTCGAAATGATGTATTTATAAGAAATAGAGGTGAAACAATTATACCGAGTACTCGAGTACTCGCTCGTTTTTTCCCCAAAATAATCGTACTCGGAATAAATCAGAGAACTCGTTCATACATGGTGCATGTCTTTACCACAGAAATCTGCAGTGTTCAGAGCAGCAGTCGGCAGATATTGATGTGCAGACTGTGTGGCGAACGCATTTTGTTCTCGAGTAGAGAGCCCAAATGACCCAACAACCAACATACCCGAGCGAAATGACTTCCGCTCGGTTCAATCAGGGTTGTATCATGTGATTTTAAAGCCCTTGGTGTTCAATTTTTAGGAGATGAAGAATTCTCGGATACTCAAATATTCGATCGGAGAAATTCAGAGTGCTCGCACTCGGGATCTCAGTGCCAACTTTCACCCCTAATAAGAATGAAAAGGCCCAATGAACTACAAACTAAGCTATGATGTCCACTAGCACCACCAGGTACTAAACAATCAGCTCAGGCGATAACATACCCACGACACTGACAGACGGAACTTGTAGTTCCTTGGTGCTTTTATTTTTTTAATTAATCCTTGGCTTTCCATCCGAGTCCATTCTTGCACAAATGATGTATTGATGTATTGTAAAATTTAAAAGAATACAGACAGTGGAGGAGAGAAAGAAAAAACTGACAGGGGAACTGAAATGTAAGAGAAGCGAGGGGGGGGGAGAGAGCTAGGGCAGAGCTGGATATCAATTGCTGCAGAATGCATTAGTGTTGCACTCTCTGCAGTAGCCGTATGAATAAACATTGGCAGGGTTATCATGAGTGCGCATTTGGTACTGTTCACAGCTTCATTTGTTCATACATTTTCCTCTTTATAAAATGAGAACCAGTAACTGGTCTATAGCCTAGTCACTATGATTATGGTCTTTCAGCGCATAATAGCCCCAGAGAGAAAAAATCTCCAAGCCTCTCCAAACCCTTCAAATACTTGCCAAATTTCTTCTGCTGAGTTTCGAAGTCTGACGAGAATGTTGAACAGTCTCTGCTGGGATGACAGCTACATCTTAGCTCAGTGCTTACAGCATTGCTGGCCTCAAGCGAAGGTCTCTGGTTCGAATCCTGCTGGTGACCGTCAATTTTTCTTCAGACTTTTTTCCCTTTTCCATTCCCTCAACTTGCGAAAACTTTGGTAAAAAGGAGAGGGACAAAATGTTACGAGTTATGACTAACTGTCCACCAACGTAACCAGACATGCAGTCACCGAGTGCGACAAAATGGGCACAAAACTATGAAAATGAAATTATGACTGTGAAAATGTCCTCTTTTTTTCTTTTCTGCAACAGCAGCAGCATACCCAGGGTGCAATCCTGGCTCACCAGCAGGACCCGCTTGTTTCTGTGAGGCGGGAAAGGTCCACTCTGAACAAGGATGTAAGTGCGCTGCACCGTCCGTGTGATTGTGATGCCAGGGGGGAGCTGCATGCCGAGATTTAAACACAAAAACAACACAAACAAACCCCAATGCCGCTACTGGGCGCCCGGGTGGAGTTGCAGACTAGGATAATGCGTAATGCCAAGAGTACATACCCCCAGAGTGTGCAATGCCTGATCCAGTTTTGCATAGGGTCTTGGTCGAGTGTAGTCGAATCTTCTGGTGTCATGCATACACTCGGGTTGTTCTTACTTTCAGTCCACTACCTGTGCTCTTGGAACAATTCGTACATGATCGCAAGCTACCACAAAACACCACCGCCGGTCTAAAGCTGTGAGGTGCTTGGCTTTTCAGGCTGGACATTTGGTGTTTCCCCTTCCCATCGTCCTGAGGCGTGAACACGTCTTCTTAGTACCATGTTTCTGCATGTGTGTGAATGTATGTGTGTGTGTGTGTGTCTGGCTGCCTGCAACTGTGTGTGTGTATGTGTGTGTGTATGTGCATGCGAATCCCATCAACGCAACAGGTATCGATTTCGCAGTCGCCGCCATAGCAGGGGGTATTGGGTCCGGCACCAGTGTCAACATCGATGTATACACATTCGCACAAGTGACGACCAGAACTGCTCTGCTCGGCCAGACGCTAGATTCAAAGCTGAGTCTGAAGACGTCGCTCACAGGATCTGTGAACGCTGTTACGGTGATCTGGGCAGGAGCGGACACGAACAGATTGGGTCGACCATTGCTTGTACTATCCGCTGGATGTAAGTTTTAACCGTGTGTGTGCCATGATGTAAAGATGGCTATGCGCCCAGTGAACTACTGGAATTTAATTTAATTTAGATGCTCAATATTTTCGGTATGGGGGCAAAAGGCCAGGTTAGGTGAGAACACATTTTATGTGCAGAAAAGCAGTTCCTTATTGGATTATGAATGTTAGTGTTTGTACGGTGTATTGATTATTTAGGTACGAAACCTATGCACCGAAAGTACCGAAAATATAAGTACACTGAAAATTTGTTACAGCGGTGTGCTGTTGGTATAGCAGCAGCACAGTCATGCCATCCGAGAAGAAGTGCCGCAACTGCTGTGCTCGCGCTTCAATTGCATTAGGCACGCGGCAACGCCTAAAGATTGCATTGCGAGGGCGAGACTAGCACGGATTCCGCTGATTCTGTTTCCGCAGTTGCTGCTGTACGTGTACTTGGATCTATAGTGCTGGCAACTGAAATCCGACCCCCTGGGCGGATTTCAGTTGCCAGCACTATAGATGCTGTATTGCGTTTGCTCAGCCTGCCATCCCTCATCCCCTTCCAACTCAGACCGGCACATGTGTTGGTCTGCTCCGTGTAGTCCTTTGCGCATTCTTGCAACCAAGGTTGGTTGGGGACGGGGCGTAAAATTGCTTCACTGCATGGATCGATCATCCATCAAGGCGTTCTTAGGGTTCCCTGTAAGAAGGCGATTACGCCTGTTGGGAATTCCCTAGTAAAATAAGAATAAAAATACAATAATTGCATAGCATGCTGTGAAAACTCAACACTGTGAACAGTGCAAGCCGCAAAAACTGCGTTTCCACCATTGTATTGAATGTAGGACATCATGTCATGCCCGTCTTGTTTCTCCACCTCCAGTTGCTAACCTAAACCTTAGCCGTAGGCAACTTGACATTTTTCCCACGTCTGCAGGCATCACATGTTTCTTTTGTGTGTGTGTGTGTGTGTGTGTGTGTGTGTGTGTGTGTGTGTGTGTGTGTGTGTGTGTGTGTGTGTGTGTGTGTGTGTGTGTAAAACTGTAGCGATAAGCTCCTTTCTGAGCACACTCATACTGGCTGACTGGCGCAACGTGATTCGCATCTCTCCTGGCAACACCAGCAACACGTCCACGCTGGCGATTTCCCTCGACTTCATTCCAGGACAGCCAGTGCCACCGGGTCTGAAAATTGAACAGCGCCTATACAGCGAGGACTGCTACACACTGACCACCCTGCCCGCGACTTGTACCTATGCGGAGTTCAAGACAGGCTCATCGCTTGCCTTTGGTGACTATGAGTTCTTCGCTTCCGTCGAGGCAGGCGGACTTGTTATCCCGCTTACTGTCCCCTTCCGTGTCATTGTTCAAGCCTGGAATGCCAGAATCAGCCAGCGTAAGTTCTCACTGTTTGTATGTGTGCATGTGTTTGTGTGTGTGTGTGTGTGTGTGTGTGTGTGTGCATGTGTGTATGTGCATGTGTGTATATATGTGTGCATGTGTGTGTGTGGCCCTTAGTGAAGTCATTCATATTTTAGAGTCCATCCGCAGGTTTTGGAGTTGTTCACCGCTGGGCGACTCGATAACCAGTTGAGGCACACACTGTCTTTATAATTACAATCGAGTGCACGAGGGTTCGGTTTGCGGTTGCAAAGGTACACTCGCGAGAAATCTCACTCCCCTTCGCTTGCTTTGCAGACACTGGCCCTGATTCAAATGCTCTTTTCGTTTCTGCACAATGCCAGTACTCAGCATAGCCGTAGCTGGTCCTCCTTTTACAGCGGTGCACGGGTGCATGTGTGCAGGATTGCTGCTGCATGTCATTCATTCATACTGGTGTGCATGCTGAACCTTGGCTGAATTCTTTAGGGGTGCCCTATGTGAGCTATGTCCCTGCTCAATGTCTAGGCTTTATGAAAATGGGAGCCGGGCTCCTGGCTCCTGTCCACAGAAATAGGCACACCTTTGTTTACTGGCAGGACCGCCTAGCGGAATGTAGCAGTGAGCGTGTGCATAGAGTGTCCTCCGCTTGCTGCACATGACACTACCGTAAAGTTCCGTTGATCCGCCCTCCCACGCCATGTCGCTTCCCTGCTGGGTTTTCAGCAGGGGCGGGAATTAGATCAAGGCTGGCACGTGCAGTACGATGTACAATAACGTAGAAGTTCAGACTCGTTGTGCTGGAAATACCTAAGTATATAATTATTAACCCTTTCCATGCTGGCCCCTTTTACTCCAGCAAACTGCCTTTCCAGCGCACTGACTCTCCTGGTGTCGGTTTCGCGCACATGTCCGAACGAATGTTTCTCTCAATTCAGTTTACCTTGATGGATTTTCATCATCCTGGGCTTGTTGGAAAGATCAGGACCAAGCAAATCCATCCTGGTAGCTCTCAACTCAATATGCACAGTGGTGCAGCTTCTACGTCCTCTTGAAGTTACCTCACAATGCCTTGGGAAGGCACAGGAACTCGATCTCACATTCTTTTTCAGTTTCTTGCTCCAGGTCAGCCGATTTTCACGATTCAAACTGTGCTGCAAAGCTAAGATTCACTTCCATTACGCATGCGCCGTGCCAAAGGGAAATCCCCTGGCACGCAACAAAAAACTGCGAATGCATGAACAAAAAGATTCACGATCCCTCAGTGCCGTGAATTTCGTGTTCACACCGTCGCCGCTCCTTCAATCTTTCTCCTATCGCAAAGAACTTTATATCTCTGGAAAGCTGAGCTCAATACCTTTCCAAAGGTGTATCGTTTGTCGCGATAGACCTATTTTTGACGGAGTTACAAAAGTTTGTACACTGATCTATGCACTGCGATGTACTGCGCAAATCTCATGACGTGTATAGACGTCATTAGTCGTTTGGCATACAGCGCGCATGACGTCTATAGACGTCATTAGCACGGAAAGCGTTAAAGTCATATAAACAAGTTGCGGCTTTGATACATGAATTTACGGTACAGTCGACCTACCCTTATAACGATATTTCCGTCACACCAAGAAATATTGTTATAAGGGTAATATTGTTATAGGGGTAACTGGTTCATTTCATACGCATACGTCATAATGCATGAATTCTGTTCATTTTTTACACTCTTCATAGCATAAAAAACTGACGTACATGCTCATTATGGGCACAGCAAGGTGCCCACTGGTGCCCCCACTGCATTTCGTCATGTCCCAGCGACTTATCAAGTGAAGCTTGCCCTACTTGGATAGTGGGCTCTACATGTTGCTTGCTAGATATTGTTATAAAATGGAAAATGTCGATTGGTCAGCCCATTTTATATCGTTATAGGGGTAATATCGTTATAACAATATTGTTATAGAGGTAAGGCACTGTATACACATGTCAATGGAGTGATTTGGTTTGGCAGAAAAATATCGTTATAAGGGTAATATCGTTATAGAGGTTATCGTTATAAGGGTAGGTCGACTGTATATCTGTGTGTGTGTGTGTTTGTTTGCTCCCCTTTCAGCCCAATGCCTCGGCCTTTCTGTTCATTCTTGCTACTGTACCACTGGCTATGCATTTCTACGTGACGGCTCATGTGAGTATTGGAGCCTACATGTAGTCTGGGTCTATCTGGCCTTGTAATAGAGAGGTTAAGATGCACGTTATTCCCGTAGCTATGCAAAAAAAACGCTAGCCAGGGTCCACACAGCTTTAATTCCGTGTTTGTGTGTCGGCATGCCTGGCGCTGTCCCGTGCCGTACCGTCAAAGACAGCTGGCCGCTAATTCAAATAAGGCTTTCAAATGCAAGATCATAACAAGAAGAAACTTGGAAGAACGTGTATCGGGGGAATGCATGCAGGGCGATAGTGGGGGTTCTAATCCTAGGTTAAAAATATGTCTTGAAAAAATAGGAGAACTGAAAATTTTATAACATCCCTACGCTTTTTTTGCCTAGGTCATCAAGGTGGTAGACGGTGTCGTATTACCCTCGAATGCTCAGGGCCCTACGCTATTCTTTTTTGCCTAGCTCGTCATGCTCGTCATTCCAACTTGCTGTTGACACAGTAACACTTACCAGGAACAGATGTAAAATGACCTGTTGCCACCGAAATTTCTGAAATTACAGTACTTGATGACGTCAGTGATATATGATGACGTCAGTGATCTAGAGCCTGCCAGTTACTGTAAACTGTCTATTATTCGCGACGGATTTATTTTCACGAGAAGACAGTAGCGCGAATATTAACCAGCGTGAAATCAAGCTTCAAGAGTAGGTGTATGGAGGTGGCCCTGGTGCTTCTCAAACTTTTGCCATCGCAAGCTCGCTGGTTCTAAGAAATCGCGAAAATTTAGTGATGCGAACATTGGTCGATTTACAGTACTTTCTACTGTACAAACTAACATACACTGACCATGAGCATTTTACAAAGCAGCGTCCACCACCGACATTGATCTGATGACGCTTGCTTTTTACGAGGTCCAGCAATGGCTGGAGCCCAACGGTTGTCAAGTCGCAAGAGAGACAGCTACTATGCATATTTTATGTGAAGTTCCCGAGTAGAAAGAGGCAGCTGAAGTTGGTTCCAGTCTATTTTATGATCGATGATTCCGTTAGCTAAAGAGGAGTGGTTCGATGCACTTTGGTAGCTGATGGGTATGGGGAACGCGGATCATGTGGCCCAGTATCAGCGAGAATCGACCTTCGGGTGAAAATCATTTTTTTCAGAATAAGTCATTTTCTGCAACAGCAAAAAATCTTGCTTTGCGCTCTGCACATTCAAACAAAAAATGACGGCAACAGAGGTAGACGAACTGAAACGCCCTGGATCAACTCGAGTCGGGACGAAAGAGCGCTGCCGCTAGTGACATGATCTGAATTTCCCTAGGCTCCCACACTGGACTGCGTGGTGAACACCAAACCCCTTGGACGGGGAAAGAGCTGAACATTGATTGATGAGCTACGAACTCTCTGCGCTCAGTGCTGGAATCATGGCGCACTGACGCGCATGCAGCCAGTTCCCACAGAGCTCAATTTCACAGAGGTGCGGCAGTGATGGACTACCTTTAAATCAAGTGTGAGATGAAGTGTGGGGTGTTAGAATGTTGTGCCTGTGTCGTATCCCCTGTGGGATGCACAGACTTGGACTCCAGGTGTAGTTGTAGCCACCCTCCCTCCTGTTCTGCACTCTGTGGATTTTCAGCAGACTTGGGATGGCATTCAAACAGTTTTCACTGGTATGCAGTGATAGGAGGATCAAGGCCATCCATGCTCTATGCCAGAGGTTCCCCAAGCGTTGTTTTACAACAAAAACTGGATGGATGGTTTATTACACTGTCTATTTTTTATTTATTTCACTGTAACACATAGTATTCCGATGTGGAAAACACTGTGATAAATTGTTGTATTTCCTGACATGTACCCATACTTGTTTGAGAAGCTTCTGGGTCATCAATATTGCTTTGTTCCGTCTAATATTTTGCCATGCGATCACTAAATACCTATAGATGACAACAGCAGAAAAAGTCATTTTGTGAAAAATCACCCTAAGGTCCATTTCCGCAGATACTGGGCCATGTGGTGTTTCGCTTGATTTCCACGAACTTGTAGGCAGTGTGCATTGGTCGCCCAATTATGGTTGCCTCCAACATGCTCATGATGTTTGCCAATCTCAGACATTGATTATCATTGCTGATAATGCTGATAACAGGCTTTCTTGGCCCTGGTGTGTTCAGGGAGAGGTATGAACGTGCCAACAGCGGCGTCGCAGTGCAAACCACTCCTTAGAGTTATTAATTATTTAGAGCGAAACCTCCCTATTTGGTCACTCTCTGGTGCTTTCATTGTCTGGAAATGTTGCTGTAGGAGGGCTGGAAAACTCTTTACTGAACTGTCACTGCACTGTATGTGTATATATGCCTGTGGATGAGTATGTGTACACGTGTCTGTGTGTGTATGTGTGTCTGTACGCATGCCTGTCTGTCTGTCTGTGTATACCTGTGTGTATGTATGTGTGTACCTGTGCCTGAGAGTGCGTGCATGTGTGTGTGTACGTACGTCTGTGTGTGAGGCTGCGTTTACACGGAGACGAAACGAAACGGAACGAAAACGGGCTGGCCTCGAATCGTTTTCAAACCGTTTACACGAGTACGGCAAATCGTTTTGAACCGTTTACACGAAAACGGAAAATGGGCGATCAGGCTAGAGTTAGCACGTGCTGGCATTGCGCAAGGGCGGGAAGTAACATGTTAGTTGGAGTTGGTACGTGCTGGTGGTTCCAAAGGTCAGGTATTTCCCGCGAAATATAGTCCCGCGCGGAATGGTTTCCATGACCGCGCTCTGTTTCCAATCGTTTTCACTGTTTTCACCGTTTACACAAGAACGAAAACGTTTTGAAAACGTTTTGAAAACGTTTCAAAACACTTTGAAGTGCGTTTCCATTTCGTTCCGTTTAGGTATCGTTTTCGGGCGTTGTCGTGTAAACGATAGTAGTAAACGCAACGATTTCGTTCCGTTTAGGTCCTACTTCGTTGTCGTGTAAACGGAAATCGTTTTCAATCGTTGTCGTGTTAACGCAGCCTGAGTGTGTTTGTGCTGATCTTCTCTTGACAGGTGCCCCCGCAGGCAAGGTCCTAATTGACGAAGGCCATGCCACCGCAGGTCAAGAGATGGAGGTGCAGGTGTTCAACTTCAGTGGGATTGCACCACCCACCGGCTCTGCCAAGAGGAGTGTCACCGTCACTAACAACCTCACGCTCCCAGAGCTTGCCTTCTCTCTGTTCGGTCACGTTATCATTGGCAACAGCGGACAATCCGTTGTGGCCTCCTTCGCCGATATGCAGGTCCGCCAGCTGGGTAAGGAACACTGTAAGAATCTGTCTCAAGGCGACCATTCGCATAAGGCGACCGTCTGTCCTACAGTCCGTTTCAAAAAGATTTGCAATCCTGGCGATCGCCCACGGAGTTTGGCGTCTTACCGTATGAGCACTCGATCGCTGCCTGGAAAAACTCATTGTGAACTCGAAGAAATATTCCGCGCGAAAGTAGGAAAAATGACTACTCGACTCACTCACGTTGATACAGTCATGGACGTCCTAGTCTGGTTTACAACAAACGAGTTCTTACTCGTATCGATAATGGAGTCAGAGAGGACATGTCGAAACGAAAGTGTTGTAAATGTTGACGAGCTGCATGGGTCCCAATTCGTTTTGTGACCAAAATATTAGTTTCTTTGAGCTGCGATGCAATTTACTCACCGTGTGACTAAAACGACATCGACACGGACTCATTCCCAACGCCATGATTTGGCAAAGCTATCCGTGTGACTTCGACGTCATTTTGAGAAAAGCAGACGCTTGTGAACGCTGATCGAAGACAGCGTTGACTGCTAAATTCAAATAAATTGGCGATCTTGAAATACTAAAATAAATCTCAAAAAGCTACAGTGTGATGACTTCCATATAATTCACTCACACCATTGCAGTGTTGTGGGTGTGTTCACATGGCGTGAGCCAGTCAAGTGTCAGTCAGTTCGGCAGGAAGCGCGAGCTCCAACAACAAGTCGTTTGGTGCAGCCATCTTCTTTGTCTTGTACCAGCTTGATCACCAAAACAATGACAGATCTTATACAGTCAGCTTGTCAGTTTTGTGCCATTTTGTCACAATGTGCAATAAAACGATGAAAATATGAAGAAATCGTGTAGATTTGAAACTCGGGTATTGAGCCAATAATAAAAGTAGAAAGGAAAAGGACATATGGAAACGAGTTATGAGTAACTATCCACCACTGTAACTAGATACTATATACAGTCAGAAAGTGCAACAACTATAGTCTGTTTCAAAAAGACTAGCAATCAGGTTTTGGTCTTAAAAAGTATGAAGATCAGGAAAATTGGACAACGAAGTACATAAAAGGGCTGGTTAGGGCACGGCAAATTGTTCTGTGAAGGTTTCGGAACAATTGGACCAGCCGTTAAGGAGTTAAAATTTCGGCCAGATTTCCGGCCTTTTCCCATGGTTTACAATTTGCCCTGGAAGCCAGTATCGATTTTTCTATCAAAACCCACGATTTATCTTTTCCTTTCTGGCCTTGTGGTTATGGATGCTGTCTGCTGACCATGAAGTTGTGAGTTAAAACCCCAACCTATCTTCAACTCACACTTTTTTTCATTGTTTTTTGTGATCAAGCAGACTTGTTGTTGTTCACGGTTGTTGTTGTTGGAGCTCCCGCTTCCTCCCTGACTGACACTTGACTGGCTCACGCCATGTGAACACACCCACAGCACTGAAACGGTGTGAGTGAATACGGAAGTCATTGCGCTGTAGCTACGTGTTGAATACATTGGCACATCGATCGATCGATTTCTTTTTGAGAATTACTGTAGTATTTCAAGATCGCCAATTTATTTGAATTTAGAAGTCAACGCCGTCTTCTAACAGCTTCCACAGGCGTCTGCTTTTCTCAAAATGTTGTTGAAGTCATACGGATAGCTTCGCCAAGTCATGGCCTTGGGAATGAGTCTGTGTCGATGTCTTTTTCGTCACATGGTGAGAGTAAATTGCATCGCAGCTCAAAGAAACTATTTGGTCACAAAACATAGTGGGACCCATGCCGCTCGTCAGCCTCGGCATTTACTACACTTTCGACATGTCCTCTCTGACTCCATAATTGATACGAGGAAGAACTCGTTTGTTGTGAACCAGACGTATACGCGTACACGACTGTACCGACATTGACCTGAGTGAGTTGTCATTTTTCATGCTTTCGTGCGGAATATTTCTTCGAGTTCACAGTGAGTTTTTCCAGGCAGCGCTCGAGCGCTCATACGGTAAGACGGCAAACTCCCCGGGCGATCACCAGGATTGCTTATCTTTTGAAACTGACTGTAGGCATAAAACTGACAGAGTACTGAGACATTCGATGTCCTGACACCTAGCTTCAACACATCTCCGTAGCGCTAACCGACAGCCTTCCATTGTTACTGGACGATGACGAGACCAGTAGGCGATTTGACAAAGCGGTCTAACTACAATTCGAAGCCTACTGGTCTCGTCATCGTCCACAAACAATCGACATTCTTTGTTCCGTTGGACTGTAGCTTGTGCTCGTTTTCGTTGCGCTTGCCTTCCCCTCTTTGGTCTTTCCATAACCTTGAACCTTCCAAGTTGGAAGGCTGTCGGTTAGCGCTACGGAGATGTGTTGAAGCTAGGTGTCAGGACGTCGAATGTCTCAGTACTCTGTCAGTTTTGTGCCTAGTTGTTGCACTTTCTGACTGTATATAGTATCTAGTTACAGTGGTGGATAGTTACTCATACCTCGTTTCCGTATGTCCTTTTCCTTTCTACTTAAATAGTGTAGAGAAAAATATTTTTAATTGCACATTGTCTCCACCGTTTTACATTGAATGAATAAAGTGTACACAAATGTCGTTTCAGATTGTCTTATTGATTGCGCTTATCAAGTTATTGTCCCCTCATTGGTCTAAGAGAAAGATGCAAATGGGGAGAGCCTCAAGAACAAATTGACTGTCACCACCAGAACTCACTGTTTGAGACCAGTGATACTATAACTAGTGAGCTAGTATTGTTACCGTATTCACGCGGATACAAGCGCACCGGCCTATATCCGGATATAAGCGCAACCCTCACATATAAGCGCATGGGCTTGTAACTGAACAGAATTCACATTTCTGGTATCACTGTACCGGTAATGACAAAACTCATTCTGGAATTACGATGTACTGAGAGGTGTTATCGCAGGGACAGCATCAAAGAAATGCTCTAAAACGATCCGGATATGAGCGCACCCTGATATATAAATGCATGGGATTCGCTACCGTACTTCCCCACATACCGGATGTTTGATGCTTTGGGGTCAGAATGCTGTCCTTGCCTGTGATGTTATGAGCATTTGCATGGTTGTATGATAGTTGTGCTGGTTGTTTGTATGTGTGTGTGTCTGTGTGTGTGTCCACGTGCAGTCGCACACTTCGCCCATGTCGGCTATCAGAACTCGTCAGCTTTCATCACGGAGAGCTCGCCTGGTATAGTGACCGTGCAGACGTCCGCCGTCTTCAACGCGTCCCAGTACCGTCCTTACAGTGCTAACTGCTACAGTGCAACAACAACAATGGGCGCCGGGGGCAGCGGCCAGTGTGCTTGGCTCAACTTGAACTCCACCGCTCAGGCACTGGCTGGTGGTGACTACGAGTTGCTGCTCTCCCAGACACTACCGGCTCTCAACATGTCCTCCTATCTCCTGCCACCTTTCCCATTCTGTAAGTAACTGTCAACTGCCTAACACCGTAAAGTCTTGTATAAAAGCCGCGGCTTCTATGACTTTCTTGGTGAAATTTTGCAGGCTTCTGTACAAGACGGGTATTAATTTTAATGTATGTCAACAATAAAACCAGGCTTATGTGTGATTTGATGGGCCCAAAATTGCGGCTTCTATTCGAGGGCGGCTTCTATCCAAGTGCGGCTTTTATAAAAGACTTTACGGTATTGGCGGTGGATTGATGGTCCCTATTTTCCCGAGAAGAGCGTAACATGAATATTAACCAGCATGAAATCAAACTTCAACCGTGGGCGTATGTAGGTGGCCCCAGTGCTTCGCAAACTCGCTGGTTCTACAGTCCATTTCAAAACTATAGACGCGTAGGGTTTTTGAAATATTTCAAATTTGCCTGGAACTTTTTGAGACTAGTTTTTGGAATATTGCTCAGGTCCGCTCCACAATTACTCTCATATAGTTTCTAAACGATTGGATAACAGACGCCCAATTTGGAAAAAATTATGCACAAAGTGATCACAGATTATATGTGGTATAGATGCTGGCATAACGGTTTTTGCCTTGGTACGCGTTCATAGTTTTGAAATGGACTGTATTAAAACTCGGACTCGGATGGAGAGTTACTCTTAACTCGTATCCATATTGTCTTTTTCCTTTCTACATTTATTTATTATATAAAATTTATTGACGCGAAAATTGGGCGGTTTACAATACACTGCAACGTTCGCGGGAATGTGATGTGTTTGCGACCGTAACCTAGGCAATGGCTTCAAGTTTCGTACTCCGGAACATTTCACTACTCGAAAACGACGTATAAAAAATCCGCATCGCCTCTACGGATTTTGGCACGAAAAATTGTACTCGGAACCTCTCTATTGTTCTTTCTTCTCAGTTTCAAAAACATTAGCAATCCTGGCGATCGCCCGGGGAGTTTTGCCGTCTTACAGTATGCGCGCTCAAGAGCTGGCTGGAAAACTCACTGTGAACTCGAAGAAATAATCTGCGCGAAAGCAGGAAAAATGACAAATCACTCGCGTTGATATATTTACATGTACGTCTGGTTTACAACAAACGAGTTCTTCCTCGTATCGATATGGAGTCAGAGAGGACATGTCGAAAGTGTTGTAAATGTTGACGAGCGGGATGGGTCCCAATTCGTTTCGTGCCCAATTTCTTTGAGCTGCGATGGAATTATTTCCTCTCACGATGTGACGAAAACGACATCGACACAGACTCATTCTCAAGGCCATGACTTGGCAAGCTATCCGTGTGACTTCGACAACATTTTGGGAAAAGCAGACACCTGTGAAAGCTAATAGAATACGGCGTTGACGAATAAATTGGCGATCTTGAAATACTAAAATAATTCTCAAAAAGAAACCCATCGTCGGGTCGATGTGCCATTGTATTCAACAACTCGTAGCTACAGCGCAATGACTTCCGTGTTCACTAACACCTTGTCAGTGTTGTGGGTGTGTTCACGTGGCGTGAACCAGTCAAGTGTCAGTAAATTTCGCGAGCTCCAACAACAAGTCAGCCACCTTTTTTGGCTTGTACTTTTTTTGTAGATCTACCAGCGTGATCACCAAAACAATGAAAAATAAGTTTGACTTAAAGATAGTTTGGGATTTGAACTCACAACTTCATGGTCAGCAGACAGCATTCATAACCACAAGGCCAAAAAGGAAAGGATAAATCGTGGGTTTGATAAAAAAAATCGATGCTGGCTTCCAGTTCAAATTGTAAACCATGGGAAAAGGCCGGAAACCTGGCCGAAATTCTAACTCGTTAAAGGCTGGTCCTATTGTTCTGAAGCCTTCACAGACAATTTGCCGTGTCCGAACAAGCCATTCTATATACTGTACTTTGTTGTCCAAATTTCATCCTTTTAAACCTGATTGCTAATCTTTTTGAAATGGACTACAGTCTGTTTCAAAAAGATTTATGATGTATTCATGTAATGAATTCAGTTTAGCGTAGGCGCACATCTCGCAACTACGTATCTGCTGCGCAACAGCGCCCTCTACGGTTCTGGCCGCGGCACTTGTTTAGCGCGCCTTGCCGCGACCGGCAAGACCGCCTGCTGTGCATCACATTAATTTATGCGTACGCCATCACAATAATTAATTCAGTTTTGATCGGGTCCGAGTCCGCAACGTGGCACATCTCCTTGCCATTCTCAGTTTTGAGTCTTCTCTGCTTTGGCTCATGCCCGACTTGCATCCTGCTGCCTTTGTCTTTTGCTGACCCACCATCCCACCACTAACCATTAATACTACATTGCATCATTCCTACTTCAAGTACAATAAACCTGGTGGCGAGTCACTCATAACTGGTCTGCCTTTCTATTGCGGCATTATGGCCTTATGGTCCTGCCTTTCCATTGCGGCAATCACAGCCTCCGGGCTTCTGCCTTCCTGCGGCAATCACAGCCTCCGGGCTTCTGCCTTTCTGCGGCACTCGCAGCCTCACGGGCTCGTGCCTACCTTGCGGCAAAGACCAACCAGTTCCTCGTCACCAGTACTTACCCAACACAACCTAGCCTTATTCGTGTGGTGTATGCCTGTCTGCATGTCGTCTGTGTGCGCGGAATGCTAATGATGTATGCCTGCCTGCATGCCGTCTGCGTGCGCGGAATGCTAACTCAGGTTTGGGTCTTAAAAAGTATGAAGATAAGGGAAATTTGGACAACAAAGTACATAGAATGGCTTGTTAGGACACGGCAAATTGTTCTGTGAAGGTTTCGGAACAATTGGACCAACCGTTAAGGAGGTAGAATTTCGGCCAGGTTTCCGGCCTTTTCCCATGGTTTACAATTTGCCCAGGAAGCCAGTATCGATTTTTTATAGTGGTGAAACGAATGTCGATGCGTACGAACTTGAAAATTTCAAACTCGTCTGAGCAAGTGGTGTGCACGTATATCGAAGCAATCTTCATTTCCTCTAGTGGTGAAACGAATGTCAAAACCTACTAGTCGAATATTCTTCAGCTTAACGAACGAATGAACGAATATTCTTTTGGTAACACAGATGACATCACATGCCCTCCTCTCAGTCATTTGATCGATATTGTCAATACTAATATAGGTATGACAAACGGTAGTGCCACATAAAATATACTGCCACATAAGGCTACTTCGAAGTTCATAAATGTTATGTGCAACATTTGCAGTCCAGTATGGACATACATGTGCATGTATGCAGTACAAAGTCACAGGCAGGCTGTACGCACTGCACTGTACCGTGTTCGGCGTCCATGTATGTACAGGCACTGCATTCGAAGTGACGTAACGAATACTCGAATGTGACTTAACGAATATTGGAATATGACAAACCGAACGAATGTTCGAATATTCGAATATTCGTTTCACCACTAATTTTTTATCAAACCCACGATTTATTCTTTCCTTTTTGGCCTTGTGGTTGTGAATGCTGTCTGCTGACCATGAAGTTGTGAGTTCAAATCCCAACCTATCCTCAAGTCAAACTTTTTTTCATTGTTTTGGTGATCAAGCTGGTGTACAAGACAAAGAAGATGGCTGCACCAAACGACTTGTTGTTGGAGCTCGCGCTTCCTGCCGAACTGACTGAAACTTGACTGGCTCACGCCATGTGAACACACCCAGTGCCACAACACTGCAATGGTTTGAGTGAATTATAATGGAAGTCATCGCGCTGTAGCTTTTTGAGAATTATTTTATCATTTCAAGATCGCCAATTTATTTGAATTTTATAGCAGTCAACGCTGTCTTCTATCAGCGTTCACAAGCGTCTGCTTTTTGTCGTCGAAGTCACACGGATAGCTTTGCCAAGTCATGGCCTTGGGAATGAGTCCGTGTCGATGTCGTAAATTGCATCGCAGCTCAAAGAATCTATTTTGGTCACAAAACGAATTGGGACCCATGCCGCTCGTCAACATTTACAACACTTTCGTTTCGACATGTCCTCTCTGACTCATTATCGATACGAGGAAGAACTCGTTTGTTGTAAACCAGACTAGGACGTCCATGACTGTATCAACGTGAGTGAGTTGTTATTTTTTCCTGCTTTCGCGCGGAATATTTCTTCAAGTTCACAGTGAGTTCTTCCAGGCAGCGCTCCAGTGCTCATACGGTAAGACGCCAAACTCCGCGGGCGATCGCCAGGATTGCAAATCTTTTTGAAACGGACTGTAGTTGAAATGCGTACTGAGGTTCCTGTGCCATTTCTGTTCGAATAGCGCCGGGGTGCCACAGAAAAGAAAAAAAATTCGACAGGTTCGCGTACCGGGCAGGTCAAGAACAAGGAGTCGTACAACTCCCTGGTCAAGAACCACCTTTCCGCTTCCGTGGGACGCCACCACCCCATGGTCAGGCGTCAGATGCGGCTCCCAGACGGTGGGGGAGGATAGATCAGATCCACCAACCAGAGGCCAAAGGCCTAAATCCCATTTGCCACAGAGCATAGGAAAAAATCCTCTACGTGTGGGATCTGGGGGTGTGTGTGTGCATGTGTGTGCGTGCTTGTGTGTGTGTGCATATGTGTGTGTGCATGGGGGGGGGGGGGTGTATGTGTGTGCGTTTGTGTGGGCATGTGTCTTCTTGTTGTCTTCCACAGCTGTCCGTGCTTCCTCATCCGCCGCTAGTGTTCTTCCGTCAGCCTTCCTCATGTTGGCCGTTGCCATGGGAGTCCTGGTCTTCTAGTTGCCGAGGCATTGCTTTTTTAATTCAAAATTTTTTATCCCGAAATACTGGTTATCAGAGTTGTTGCCATTATTACTAATCTGTTATTCTCCTTACCCCGAGACTAGTGGTGTCTTGGCCTTTAACCTCAAGCATTTGAGGCACCCTGGGTATGCCTTCTTAATCAAGGTGATCGTCCACTTTCTCCGTTTGCTGCAAGTGTTAGACATATTTTTGAGTGAGCATCACATACCGTTGTAAAACTTGATACGCAGTCACGATCTACTGGCCTGCACTATGCTACTGTGACCTCTTTTCCATGGGCTGGATTTGTGTGTGTGTGTATGTATGTGCATGTGCCAGCTAGTTCGGTTGGTGGGTACACTTATGCCAGACAGTGTTGGGCCTGTTGCCAACGGGCTCGGCTGCTTGAAGGTGTATTGTTGTACCTACCACCTTTGTTGGTTTCAGGGTTCATATACTTTCTATTTGAAGTATACATACCTGTTAACCATGGACTGCTTCTGGCTAGATTAACTCTTGTGTAATCAATGGTGCTAGTGAAGCTTATATCAGATCCACTCTGATTTAGCCACCCACACTAGTACCAAGTATTACCTTCACTGGGGGCAGGGGTACCTGCAGTTGGATCCCGGGACGGATACCCTGATGCCGTCAATCCTTTTTCTGCACCTTGTCCTCACCCACTTACTGAGGTGTGGTGAGCCCATAAGTGGGATCATTTCAAGTCCACCCTAGTTTGGGGATTTCAGGGGGTGTCGGCCATTGGGTGGTTCAATGGCCAATTGAGTCATCTTTCCAAGATTCCTTTTGAGTCTCTCTCCCCTCTCCCGGGGAGACCCACGTGACCAGTTTTGGCAGTGAGCAAGTACAAGTAAGTACAAGTGCATGTGTCTGTCTCTATGTCTCTTTCCCTCTGTGTGTGTGTGTGTCTCGGTGTGCGTATGTGTGTGTGTGTCTCGGTGTGCGTATTGGTGTGTGTATCGGTGTGCGTATGTGTGTGTGTGTCTCGGTGTGTGCCTGTATCACTGCACTGTGTGTGTGTTTGTATGTGTGTG